CTCAGAAGACATTAACCCAAGACAGAGCCAGCAGACATCTCATTTGCATGGCATGTGAGATGAGCGAACAGGAGAGGCATGAAAGCACTATAGGTGAGTGAGTTCTAGTGTGGAAAAAATACAAAATAGTAATTTCATTAAATCTTTGCACACGAGAATAGTCATGTCTGCATGCAAGCATCTACAACTTCAAAACTCCAGTGTTATTACTTCATAAAGGTCTTTTTATACCCTTCAAAACACATCTAGACATATATACATTATCAGATCATCTTCACATAATGCAGTTATTCTAGACAGAATATCTCCAAATGCAAGGTTTAGAAATGCACTGCTAATAATATCAGTAGTTCACAATTTTGCAAGAGGTCGTATCATTACTTTGTCATGTACTTGTTACCTGATAAACTGCACATATTCACTTTATTCTTAGTTAACATTACCAACAAAAAAAAAACCAACCCAAAACTGACCACAAATTTCAGAATTCTAATCTCAGAAAGCATCAGGTATGATGACCAGCCATGATTTCTAGTTTTTGCTAAGCCCAGAAGACTTTCTGAAGTACGGCCCAGCATTTGTCATGCTTCTTACCTTACATGCATCAATTTTCGTCAGCCTTTTCTCTTCACCTTTTGTGTTCTAGTGAGAACTTGACCCAAATCCCATAGAACCGCACCTCTGCAATAATGCCCTGTGGCTGTCATCAGATTATTCCAGCAATCTAAACAGACTAACTTTTTTTTTTAGCTTAGGCACTACAACCACCAGCAGAGCTGCAAATAAGAATTTAAACCGCGAAGAGAAATTACATCTCTCTGCTGTACTTTCTCCTTGCCTTATAATTTATTTTATCTTGTATGATAGGAATAAATAAATTTTGAGATTACCAGTCCTTTCAAAAACAGGCAACTTTTACAAAGATAGCAGCAAGTTATCACCCTGTTTCACCAACACTGAACCTATAAAGGTTTGGTTCCTGTCATCTAAATGTAAATGTCTTTAAAAGCTCAACCAATTTCCAGTCATACTTTCCCAAAGCAGCATCATGCTACTAATGCCGTGACCCAGCTGTTGAAGAGGTACTGTTAAAGATTTTAACTACTGACTGACCACACAGTTTTATAGGTAACACTTTCAGCAGGCTCTCTTTTACAATTTACAGTCACTAGGTCCGACAGCTCGAAAAGACTGGCAAGAGTTTTGAGATGTAGGTCAATTAATGCAACACCAGCAGGTTTTGTTATAAACGTCTAAATAATAATTAGGGCAGCCAACAAATGTTCTTGCTGGCACACTTCAGTGAGGCACAGACCATCTTGCTTTAAATCACTCTTCCTTATTTTTTTTAATGACTTCATTTAAAGACTTGTGAGAGCAAAGAAGGCCACCTCCTCTCCTCTTCTCTGACCCCTGCCCGAATCCTGCTAGATCTTGCGATGCTGGGAACACTGATGTTCCTCTTGGCACAGATACATACTGCTTCAAAGGGAAAAGGGGAGTCCAACAGGGAAGATTAATTGGCTTATTTGTCTTCTAAATTGAATCGTGTTTACCTCACTTGAGAGTTATCAGTAAATCTGATTTCCCAAAGATTCATGCAAAGGGTTGCAGTGTCAACCAGCGATAACATCTCCTTGCTGATTCTCACAGAAGTGCTATGAATTGAAATGGAACTACAACAGACTGCAGTAATGGAAGAAAATAGTTTGGGTCAAATCATCTTTGAGATGAATAATAAAAACAGGTTTTGCAGAGCAGCTTTTTATTAGAAATAGCATCAGATTTCAAAAAGAATTATGTAATGCTTCTATGAAGGCAAATACTACTGGAAATGGCAGCATTATGGGTAACAGAGACTGGTAAAGTACCAGCAATAACAACATAGCCTAGACAGCTAGTCCAGTACAAGGACCAATTTTTCTCTCTCCCTACACATCAACCACCCACCAAATCAACAATAGCTGATTCTATTCTAGATTTGGAATATACTGAAGACTATATACACTTCAGAAAAACTTTTCATATGAAATAGCCTTGAACAGAGCAATCATAACATAATTTGGCTAAAAATTAAATGGCACAAAACAGCATATGGGTTTTAAAAGGCCAACACTTAGGGAATTGGCTGCTACAGTTGGCTGGAATAAGATGATCAGAAACTTGAATGTGGAGAAAGCCTACAATTTCTTTCAGACAGCAAGGTCAAAACTCCAAAGAATAAGCACTGCAAGGAGGAAAAAAAAGTAGAAATCCTCTTGGAAAGAAAAGACTATACTGAAACGAATTCAAAATTGCCTAAAATTGTTTCAGTCACATTAAAAACAAACGTCAGAAAAATGTTTTCCTGCCACATAAAGAAAAAAACCTCACATCATAGAGTCTGGGTTACACACCAAAACTGGTTTACAATTATACTTGGCATGTAAATTCAACAGCAAAACTACATGATCATACAGGTGAACATTTTGACTATCAGACCCAACTTCATTAGCTGGAAAAAATGCAAAGGAAAGCCATGAATTAGAGAGAACATACAACTAAATCACAAGAAGCTTCAGAGAGAATTTTCTAGTAGGAATGAAAGAGGTGCCAGTGTACAAAGCAGCAAAGAGAAGTTATCTGAGAATACTGCACAGCACTGTCCAGGAACCCCAAAAACATCTGTCTGTCTGTCATGGCAGAAGCCTGTTGCTCAGGTCTTCCCTTCAGCCTCTCGCTCTCCTCCTGCACTGGGCTCAGTGCTGGTTGTGCCTTAAATTCTTCCATTTCACTCTCCAAACTCCTCAGCCGGTCCAGACGCTTTTTTCTCCTAAGCATGCTAACTTGCTCATCTTCCTGCCCCCTCCAACAACTCCTTCTGACCCAGTCATTTTCTTTATAAAAGGAATATAAAGTAGTAAAGCAATATCAACTTTCACATCATACTGAAGCATAAGAAACCAGGTTCCAGTGCATGACCAAAAGCCATCATCAATGCCAAGCTTCAAGTGGTTTCCTTGCTGTAAAGGTGAAGAGTCCTTACTGCAGAAAGGGCTAGTATAGAAGCTGAAATTATTCTCCTATGGATTTAAACAGGGTTCTATGTGCTGCAGTTTTGGGCAAAAGGGTTTATTTGTGGGTGGGGGTTTTTTTGTTGGTTTGTTTGGGTTTAAGTATTGCAATTGCTGGGAAGTATTGCAATTCCATTGCTGGGAGCAGGGGAGGAGAGCAGTGTGGCTAGTTAAAATTCTCCTCTCTCCTCCATGTCCAGCACTTATTTAAGGTTGAAGTTCATCGTGCAAATAAATTTGATGAAAAATTGTTTGGATATAAAGAAAATCACTTGATTACTTGGTAAGATGAAAACAATTTCAAGACAGATTGGGAAAAGGGACAGAGTAAAAATCAGAAATCCCTTTAAGTATTACAATACTTTTGAAACAAGTCCTTTGACTCTTCTTTTGCAATGTGCTTCCACTGGGAGTTTACTTTTCCCTATGAAAACAAAAAGCTAAACAAATTTTGATTTAAGACAAAATAATTTATTCTGGGTTCAGACACTAAACACACAGAAAACCAGACACTTACACAACCCTAATCTGTATTTCCGTCATCCACAAGAAACAAATTCAAGGTTTAAAGCAAGATAAATAAAACAAATATCAATTACAATAAAAACCAACCTTTTGCAAAGTCATTAGCCAATTGCCTTACAATAAAAGCCAATAACATCTTGATTTCAGGCAAGCTATTATAGCCAGTACTAACATACTTAAGGTATACACAGTATATTCACACTCATTCTTGATGTAAAAAATGGTTATGATAAATTTGTACCTTCTTCAGATATCAAGGTGGATGAACACATTACGAAACTCTGAACAGAATTCAAAAGATCCTTCCCAGTGTCAGAGCAGCTCTCTTGCACGTGTTTCAAAATAAATGCATGAACTTCATGGCTCTGTTACCTTAGGTGCTGTGCATTCTGAACCAATACAGGTTTAACCTCAATCACTAACACCAAGGTTATGTGTTTTGCTATACCAGAGGATGAACCTAGAGAACCTCCAGGGCTCAGTCCTCAACAGTTACAACCAGGTGTTTTTTGAACCATCAGTCCTACAGAACTGGGGACAGAAAATTAATTCCTTCCTGGTTCAAGTACCAATAATATGCTTGTCACTTTCCAATCACTGTTCTACTTACTCTGTCCCAGTGCATTTACACCAGAACAGCCACACAGCTGCAGATCACTGACATTTTAAGAAAGAAAAGCCATCTAGTCTGATCACACAAATGCAACACAAGGCTATTCGATTTCTTGCCCTTTACCTTCCTCATGCTTCATACTATTCGAGATGCCATTCATAACACTCATTCACACTCCATTGCTCAAATATTCTCAGTCCATCCCAAGAATTTCTTCAAAACTTACCCCTACACTCAAACTTCTGTATTTGAATGTTGTTTTTTTCCCTTTCATTCTAGTCTACAGATTCAGAACCGACAAGTCACACATCAAGTAACAATGTCACTTTCACCTCACCCAGATCTTTTTTTTAAAAGCTACTTTAAGTTTCACCTTGATACTACCAGTTTTTTGGCATCTTGCACTTGCATTTTATCTTGTATCACATTCTCGTGGAATTAAACACAAAGATCCAAACAAGGTGAGATTGTTTTTTTAAAAAACAAATTTATATCATTACTTCTCAAAATATCACTGCATTGTAGCTTTTATCTATATATATACACACACACACACACATATACATGAAGTAACAGTGCACAAAGACACAGCTTAGCTTTTGCAACAGAAAGAACACATTCCTCCCCAAAAGATAGTTTAGTAATGTATTGAAGTACCATTGAAATAATGGATGCACTTCTGTCATCCACACTTCAAAAGATTTATATTAAAACAGAATTTGCTAGGAAGTTCGGGTAGAATTTCAAAGAGGATAGCATGGTCAGAAGTATGAAAACAAACAAATAAAACAACAGAAAATACAGCCTACCAAATATGTTGGTGGAATGTCCTTTCCGGGCAATTGGTTTGAGCTCATTATGTCCCCATCCATATTGCCTATAATTGTCCCAGGCATGCTTCATCATCTAAGAGACAGAAAAAATAGGATATGATTACATTATGAAACTACTTTGTACAAATACAATATTTTACTTATTATTTGAGTCTTCATCTTTCACAGTCGTCCCAGTACACTGATAATGACTTCGCCACTATTTTGGTCTGTTACAGAAATCATACTATACAACACAAATACATTTGGAAACAACTTCAAGCCTATTTGACTTGAGCTATAGAGTCTAATGCTCTGCATTAGGTCATTTTCTTGTTCTTTCTCTCTTTTCCTTAAATGTCACAGACATTTAAGAATTTAAGCATAAGGAATGCATTTAAGCAAAAATAATTTTGAAAAATACTGGCTAACATGTACAACACTAACTAAAGGAAATATCTACCAATATCTAAAGTATAAAAGGGATTTATTTACATTGGTGCATCCAAGTATGCACCAACTAAACAATTTTGCAAAAGGCATAATGATTTTTTTTTATTAGCAACACCTACGTGCCTAAGATATACTGTTAAACAGCCTCTAACAAAAGAAATGCTAAAAGCTTTGCTCTTTAGAAAGCATAATGAATGAAGCAGTATAAAATCATTAATATTTGCTCCACAAGACATTCTCAACTATTTTTGATAGCTATTTCCACCACCTAGCAAGCAAACTACATTTAAAAAACAAAAGGTCTTGTCAACCCATAAGTATTAGTTGTGCGCATTAGCCGTCAAGCAGTGCTTTTATGAATTTGCTAAAACTTTTCATATTCCTTGCTTGTTGGTATACAGCAGAAATTCAGCAGCTACCAAACCGCAAAGCAAATGCAGTTTTTAAAAAAATCAAATATTCGTTACCTAAACAGGTCAAAGCAAGTAACAAGAAGAATTCAGATTCAAAAAAACCTCTCTGCCTCAGACACAAAAACTGTTAGGAACAAACCTGTTCTAAAACAGCCATGTGGCTGTATCCACAACACTATACATATTTTAGTTTTACAGTGCATCTTAAAAATGGTATTAAAACATTTAACATTAACAAAAACCCCAAGAAAATGTATAAGGCTTAAAACATGATCTCCAGAAGACTGAGAAATGCTCTCTAAGAGGAGAAACTATGCTCAGGTAACTAACAGACCCAAGCTAACCCTTTAATAAACTGATTATCAGGGCAAGTAAAGCTTTCACTGCCATTTGCAAGACTGTGGTTTTCTTATTTAATCAGTCCCCATGCTCATAGAAAACAAGAGGGAACAAGCAGATGCTGGCTGAAAAGCATGTGACCAGTTGCCTGACCAGCACTACCTCACTTAGAAAGAAGCAGCTCTCCTCTCTTACCAAGTTGAGGATTTAGTGGAAGTCAGTGTTCAGTAATCCCAAACCTTTCAAACGGCATCTAAATTGCCTGCTGAGACATGCAAAACAAAGTCCCTGTCTCCCTACAAATGCCAAGAAATCCCTGTCCAACCTACGCAGCTGTAATTCCTTTGAATGAACAACTCCCTCCACATTTCCCATGGCTCAGTTAAGTCATGCCCAGACAATAAATCGGATCCACAGCAAAGGTACACACACAGGCCCAGAAGCTGGGAAGCACTTCTGTGTTAAACTGGCATCAACCTAGACACAGACATGCCTCTCAAGGTGCCAGAGGTCCCCCTCCTACTGCTTTTCATTCAAAGCCAGCTCACACATTGCTTTTGGTATCTGCACTAAAAGATTCTGACACCCAATTAAGCAATAATACTGCAGAAGTTCCTCTGAGATGTCTTAATGTTATCCAGAATCAACCTACAAATTTTCACATAAAATTTGTCATTAAATTAAGATCATAGAATCAAGAATCACAGCATTACTCAGACAGGAAGGAATGTCAAGATGTCTCTAGCTCAACCTCCTGCTCAAAGCCAGATCAGTCATGGGATCAGACTGGGCTACTTAAGGCTTTCTCCAGTCAGAATGGGACAAGTCAAGGCCTTAGCGAAGTGTCCTGCTCTCACAGCTTACCAGTCCACCTTTAAGTCCTAAAAACTCTAATTGGGAAAACAGACCTTTTAGAAGGTACTAGAGAGTAAAACTGAAAAATTACTGACCATTGAGCTCTATGTGAATTTGATAACAGATTAATGTCTTAACAACAAGGTGACCATGACATGGCAGATCTACTCAACTTGCTTTCACATAAGGGAAACTGAGCTTCTGAGCCCTTTGGATGCATCAAATAAATATTTTATGAAGGACAAACAAATGACTTTTGACATCAGAGCTCTGTAAAAAAAAAATCAAAGTGGAGGCAAACACCAGTATAGATCAAAAGTAGCTATATCCAAAACAAGAACATTTTTTTTCCTCATGGCAAAATGTTAATTGTGGAATATTTTGCTGTCCCTTTTTGCTATGCTTCTGGAGAGAAGGTACAGATTTTGTTAGACTATTTAGTTCTGAGGAAACCCAAGGAAATTATGGAAATTATAAAGGGCTAAAACAGAATACATCACAACATAAGATGTTTCTAGATCTGGAAGATAAGTTTTATCTTAAGATAAAATTTCATTAAGATAGAAACTGTAAAGGAGTAGAATTCACCAGATTCATGAATTAATGCAGAAGTAACTTCCGAAAACACTACTGAGACCAGAAACCGTTGAACACAAGAGACTAAGATAGAGTTGGCTGCATCATCTAAGGTTCTGATAGGAAATCATATTTTGATGAGACTAACCTACTTTCAGAACCATGAACACGTGCCTGCCCTGTCCCCTCTGCCTCTCCCCAACAGTGTATAAAGAATACAGTGTTATAACTCCCTGTGAATCTTTTGACTTTATTACACTAAGTAGTGTAATTTTTTTCAGATTATTTTTTCCAGATGAACACTGAACACGACTGGCACACAGCTCATTATTCTCTACCACAAAGTGAGCAGACTTCACAGTATCATGCTAGCAGATAACTGCACATTACATGCAAGTGAGAAACCCCACAGGTCTTACACACAACATTAAGTTTTGCAAGGATCATATGTCAAGAGATCTTATAACAACATGGAGATTTTTGTTACTGCCAGAACCGGTAGCATGATATGCTATAGATATAACATCTATACTATTGGGAGCAGTTCTGTACACAGAAGCTTTTGAGAGACTGGAGAAGATAGATGCCTCTGCCAGCTAAAAAATTAACAGAGGATGCCACTTTGGCTCAAGAAGTACAAGCAACACAAACTCCTGATCTGAAAAAAACAAGATTATCTCTATGGTTATGCCAGATAGTATTTGCATAGTGAAAGCTGCAAATGCTGAAGAGTAGCTGAAAGTATAAGTAGGCTTTTCTTCAAAAAAACTTGCCTTTAAGAGGAGAGGGAAGCCTCAGACACTGACTGGAACACCAGCACTAACAGAAATCGGGTAAAAACATTTGCAAAAAACCAGCCCTTAAAGAACCCATGACAGAGGAATCTTAAGCTCAGAGTGAAAAAACCAAGCCTGTCCAAGCACAGATCAATAATTGTGAAAAAGGTAAGGCACAGATTTCCATAGCTGAAATTTCCAAGTCTGAAAGCAGTTTGTCAAAGCAAGTGCTTGGAGCCTGATGATGTATCATATAAAGACCTTGCAATCTGTCCACCAGAGACTAAATGGCTTTAGTGATGGACTTTTTACTGACATTAATGCCAGATATAGCTTTTGAAGGCAAAATCATTCATAAGCAATAGGTCCATTGAATACCAGTCTCAAAAACGTTTATTATGGGATGCGCCGTATACAATAGCCAGCAATCTGCTGTTGCATGTACAGCCTGATAATTCTACAAAGAGATTAATTTGGACTCTGCTGCAAGACAGCCAGAACAACAAGAGGCAACGCATTACTAATGAAACTGCTTTTGCAGGTGTACCCTTAGTTAGATGCTTTTACTGACTTTAGAACATGTTCATGGAATCTGATCCTCTACAGTCACCAGGAAATAAGGTTTTTCTAAAGACAGAGTGGTAATGATGTCTGACAAAATCATAATTGTAAAGAGAGGTTACAGTGATTGAAAAGACAGTAAAAAGAGATTGTAAGGGAGTTCTATCACTACAGCAGCATGTTAGAAACAATAATTCAAACCACAGATAGGTTCACAAGACCCTTTCTACTCCTCTAAAAAGGGTGGATACCTAGCAAACAGAAAATAAAGAGTTCTGAGAAATAAGAAAATGCAGCAATTTACTGGCAGATTGTCATATTTACTGATTGTGTCTAGAAATGAGAAACCTGTCCTCTTCCTACTGTTCCATCCAGAGTGTGCATAGCAGAAATAGTAAATAGGTTTTGCTTTCAAAGGAACTTATTCTAGTTCAGGGTACGATTTCAAGAGATTTATATAAACCACCTTCAAATTCTGTTTTAAAATTAACCAAGGACTTGCTAGACAAGATTGCTGCTCAATTGGCAGATTAAAAATTAATAACCACTTGCCTGCTGTCTGCAGAGAATACTTTTTGGAGGTTAAATTAAAGAACCATCTTTTCCTCGTAGAGTTATTCAGATTTTTGAAGAAACTTAGAAAACTCATACAGACTACTCTTCTGGGAGCTAAAAACCTCTACTAAAAAAATAAATAATTATTTCAGGCATCAGTCTATGCCTCTGTCATGCATTTCAGAACACTGCCACTGAAAAGGTCTGTTTGGAACATGTTCCTAACACACACAGAAAGCTGGGTTTTCTTTTACTGATGAATTTGGTAACAAATCCATTACTAAAACAAAACTAAAATGTTTATCAAATGTATGCAAAATAGAAGGCTTGTTCATTGGCATGCAATACTTCTAAGTGTCCGATTGCTTAATACTACTAAGACACCCAATGGAGCTAAGGGGAAAATACTTCAGACTGGTGAGAACTGAAACAGTAGATGTAAAGAGCCTAAAATTTGAGACCTTACAGCAGCGAACTAGCTGCTCAAATTTGTACAAGAAAGCCAAAGACTTTTTTTCCAAGATGATGAATCAGTATTTTTGACGTTTATGTCCTCACAGTT